TCACATTTTGATGCCAAAATTTGGCGGCATATTTTGACACGACTTTATCTCCTTTATCCATACCTTTACCGATGATAATATGGGCCAAAAACAGACAGATAGCCGATTTAGCAGCGCATGTACACGACTAAAGACCTATCTTGATCCAAATCAATCGATAAACCGCTTTTAATCCCATTTGAAGAATATCAAAAACGGGTAGGGATTTGTAAAAAGTGGCATGTAACTTGGTTGTTTTTGGTAATAATAATATTTTCGAAAAAAACGTTGTTTAGGGCTTTCGTGAATTAATCATGATATGTACACTAGAGTGCTTCAATCCCCATACAAATCGTTATTGTTTTCGTTATGTATTATATTTTTAGACTTCTGCCAAAATATTTCGCAAAAAATTTTACGATTTACGTGAGCTGGACCGATTTGAAAATACCAAAAAAAAATCTAGTTTTTATATAAATAAAATTAGTTTTTAAAAATATCTCTTCCAAGAAACTTCCTTAGATAATAGAAGTGTTTAAGCTCCAAACATTTGCATAAAATGTTTTGAAATATTTCATCAATTATATGAAATAATGAGATTTTTGGAGGAACATATGTATATACATATATTTCATTTTACAGGCAAGAAAATTTATAATTATCTACTTGTCGTTAATTTGAAGCCACAAACCTTCAGAATAACATTAAAATATTTAAATATTTATTAGAATTGTATTTAAGATGTATGTATATATGTCTTCTTTCGTTGCAAATTAAAAATTTAAGAAACATGTCAACTTTAATAGCCAATTTGTTCTTCACGTTGAATTAAAAATTGCTGATGTTTTTTTTTACTTTTAACCAAGAATAGCCTGAAAAAACTCTTCAAACAATGTCTGCAATTTCTCAGTTAAAATCTGTTTAGTTTTTATGTGTAAATTCATTTGACAAAAGACAATTATGCGCATACACACATAAAAGCATCGAAGTTAAAAAATTTATGAGGAAATTAGAGATTTTTTTTTTAATTCATAGCCTCTCAAAATACATAGTTGCGAAAACAGAAGTACCTATGTGAATTAAAAATATACAGAGGTGCGCGCATACATATGTACATATATATATATACATATGTACATGCAAACAAACATTGCAATTTCCGCGGAAATGTAAAATTTCATAAAAATATCTATTAATTGTGGAATTTTGTTTGTGTCGCCGATCATAAAAATTTGTAAGTGTTTGTAAATAAGCATACTTGAAATTTTTTTTTTAATATATCAAAATTTAACTTCCTCAGTAGCCTCGAGTGTGAAATTTATTTATGACCCGTGTGACGCGTGGAGGAAGTAAAAGAGCACTAAAAACCAAAATTTGTGCCCGCCATAACCTTAGTCAATATTCAATGCTAATTTTTATGATCCGGAAAGTTAAAAAGTAGCTGAAAAAATTATGTAAAAAAAAATTTTGTTTTGAAAAATTATTTACGCCACACTTTGATCTGTTTATCAAAATTCCACCCGCCTCTAATAAATTTTTAAATTTACTAATTCCAATATTTGTTGGCTTAATCGATAAAAAATTTTGTTTTGAAAAATTATTTACGCCACACTTTGATCGGTTTATCAAAATTCCACCCGCCTCTAATAAATATTTATAATTACTAATTCCAATATTTGTTGGCTTAATCGATACAAAAAAAATGCAGTGAATTACAACAGCTTCTTAATTCTCGGCAATGTAATTTACAATCAAGCAACATCTTCCGATATGGCCTTTGACCGCTGGCGACTGCCGGCAACTCAGCTATTTGTGTGCATTCACCATCATTGGAGATGCGGCAACACCAGACACCAGACACTTCAATTTAATCGCGCCATCTTAATCACACTCAGCTTTTGTATTTATTTTTATGTTCGCATACTTTGATTTTTTTTTTTTCTTTACATATATTTCTTAGTTTTAAGGCTCACTAATTTTAATCAATAATTTGTCTGATTTGGCGCGCATGCGCGTACGCACGCGCTGCTGCCTCAACCATTGCGAGATTTTCGGCTAAAGCTAACCAAATATGTATGAGCAGCTTGTTTGTCAGAGGATATGCTGTATAAAACTATTAGTTTCTTCGGCAATTTGTCCGATAGAGCTGTTAGATTTATGCGTATTACTATACATATGTACATATGTATGCATGTACGTAGTGTGGGTAACTCCTCTGCTGGAAGTTGATCGCTACTTGTGGTCAATTGGAGGCATGTGCTCTACCCTGCTTGGTTGTGCCACAGGCAGGTAGTATTTGGATGCGTACATACGTACAAATACAGAGACTATGAACGACGAATTATTAGAATAACTTTGGAAAAAAATATATCAACTTTAAAAAGTTTTGTAGGGACACACTGTAAAATTACATTAATGTGTCTTTCAATAAACAAAAAAAAAAAATGAATATTAATTTGTATAGTTTTTATTCATTCATCTTTGCAGATTCTTAAAAATGAGCAGCTACAAATGTCAATTCAATTGTTCATTCCTTTGCGCACTTTTGCCACAATAAAAAAATGTTTGCATTCACTTTAGTTCTTATCGCCTTATTGAAATCTGAACGGAAACCCAATGGATAGGCATACCTTCATACAAACAAGCAAAATTTATACAAAGCAGACGGCAAAGCAACTCAAAAGCTTTGGCTTTGCCATAAAATGAGGTGATTAATAAGAGTTTCCCACAAATTTTTTTACAATCTGCCGACAACTTTTTGCTTATGTGTAAATAATGCTAAAAGATTCGAAAAATAAGTTCAATAAAATTTTAATTTCTATAATTGCAAATATTTAATTGCCTTACAAATACAAAATTCGGTTGAAAACAATTTTAAAAAATATTCAATTTAGTGCTTTCAGCACCATTGTAGACAACCGTTTTACAATTATTACTCCGGTTTGCTACTCGTTCCCCAATTAACTGGTAACAAAAGTGACAAATTAACTTTATTAGCAAAAAGCATTAATGATGGCGAAATAAATGAGTACTTAAGAAAATTATCTACGATAGAAATTCGCAACTGGCTTTATTATTAAGTCATTATTGACTAAAAAAAATTTAAGCTAAATTATACATATGTGTATGTAGAATACCCAAAAGGTGCAGTCGTTGGGACGAAACTCAACTGGCGCCAGATGGCGTTGTGCAACTCTGAAAAGCTTTCATACTTTCGAAAATGTACCAACATTCGCTTGTGCATAGCTGTCTGGCTATCTGAGCAAATAGCAGCCGACTTCAAGGCAGCAAACTCCTATTCAAACCCGCTACAGTGATCACGCAAATGGAAGCTTAATTTTAGGGACAGTTCACGTCGGTGTATAACAAAGTGGATCTTGAGTAATAATATAGTAAAGGGGTAATCTTAACCGGGTACATATGGTATTGTACTGGCATATTTCGGTGCATTTCCAAATTTCCCTGGCGTCACTTTACTTTGTCAGAGATTTTTGTCTGATAACACTTTGGCCTAGCTATAGTTTAAGGTCTACAGAGAGGAGATAGGGGCTCAAGTTGATTTAGAGTGCAGCCATGCCACAATGCACGCCGACCTCTATGCCTTAATAAGATGATAAATACTATCGAAAAAATAACATATCATACATAGCGCATATTTTTAATGAAAAAATTTTTTAACAGTATAAAACAATATAAATGTAAAACAATTTTTAAAACAAACTTTTATTTAACAGCTAAATAGTAAGTTTATTAAATAAATGTTTGTTGGAGATACATACATACAAAATGTCACGTATTTGCCGCGACGTCCCGTATTTCGTATTAAATTCGAATTTTAATGAATTTTAAGAGCCAATCTATAATTATTTTAAAATAAAGATGAGATGCCAACAGCATCATTTTTAATTTTGCTGCTATTATTTTGACCGCAACTGTATCTCTTAGTTAGTTTTTATAGTTTTGTCAATTATATGCCTATGTAAACACACATTTTCGTATAAATTAAAAAGTGTTGTCATGAAATAAACGAAATGTATTCTAAGCTTATTATTAAGACTGGTTTTCACTATGCCAAAATTTAGCGACATATTTTGACACACCTTTATCTCGTTTATCCATGATATTGTGGTGGGCCAAAAACAGACAGATAGCCAATTTAGCAGCGCATTTACACGACTAAGAAAACGCCATAACTTTGTTATACAAACATGACATGTGATGTAAAGCTTAGCTACGTACATATAACCTTTGTTAACAAAAAAAAAAAATTATGAATTTACTTTCTAGTTGTGATTTATTCAAATGTGAATTTTAGTTGAAACAGTTTAGCCGTTTTTGCCGGTTGGCTCAAAACTTCTGGCAACACTGTTCCTTGTCGTGCGACACAGTCACACAAACACTCAATAGCAAACCACGTCTGTTTGCACGCCTACCTTTACGCTCAGCAATGAGTTTTTGTTCTCAGAATTCTTGCTTGTTGACTGTGCCTATTTTTGGATATCTGTATGTATGTGTGTACATATGTACACTTGTTTACAGTTCTAAAAATAGCATAGCCAAGCAATGAGTGGTGTGGCGTTGGTGAGTCACGCTCAAATAACGCATTAGCCGAGCGATTGGTATGTGCCCGGGTAGCTCAGTCGGTAGAGCATTGGACTTTTAATCCAAGGGTCCAGGGTTCAAGTCCCTGCTCGGGCGGGCGCAATTTTTTCTTAATTAAATTTTTTTTTTATTTGATTGGTGTTATTAATTTAATTAGTAAATTTTAATACAATTTGATAGCGATATCGGAGATTTTTCGGGTATAAAATATGTATGTAATATTGATAGATTAATAAATATATTTGCACAGCATATACCTATGTATAATTTAACTGCCGACATTTGAAATTTAGCAATTTACGGTTTCTTTTTAATTTTAAGCAAATGCCTGTTAAGTACAACATATACTAATTTGACACAGTTACTGCGAAAACGGTTTTCACCATTAATGCCTTCTTATATTTTATATTTTCTTGCAGATTTCGAAAATAAAATTTAGTTGTGGCAACTTTTTCATCGCAAACATAATTGGGAAATTCTCTGCGCTCAGCTGCATCTGCAGCTAACTGTGTTGTTATTTAAACATAAGAAAACTGTGTTTTTACATTTTCTAATTTGCACCGTTAAATTGAGACATTTTGTAATCCCACACCACTCAGGAATATAGCAAAATTCATAAAAATGTTCAATCATAATTGGCTAACGTGGCCGGTGGTGATGTGCTGGCTGCTGACCTGCTGCTATTTATTGGTCGGGACTGAGGCGCAGGTAAGTTAATGCTACTCATTATGCTACTACATGTATGTATGTACACTAGGGTGGTCCAAAAATAAGTCAAGTTGGAATTTTAATGCTCTCACCCCCTATGATTGTTCTATATCGAAAAAAATATACCCCTATTTATTTATTTTGAAATCAAAAAATATTTAGAGGTCAGGCAAAGCGTTTCAACTTTTCCAATGTATTCTATATGGGGAAAAAACAACTTTTCGTAGAAATGGCATAGAATTCTTGAACATCAATATTTTTCGATCGGAAAACATTGGTTCTCTTCGGGAGACTTCTAATAATAAAACCCAATTGTTTATTTAACAATTTTTTAATACTAAAGAATTTTTATTGTTCCCTCTATTGCATTTTATGCGGTCTTTGGCGGACCTATATAAAATATAGTTACTACGAAAAAAATTATTAAATAAAAGGGTAATATTATTGGGAATTTTCCGAATAGAAACAGATATATACTATATATATAGATATATAAACCTTGGTTGGGCACTACCTTGCCCGCGGGCAAAGCTCTTTTAAGCTTTCTATACATTTTGTAAAAGCGCGAGCAGAGTAAAAGCTCTCTATGCCCATGGCTGATTTAAACGCTTTGCTTTGTGCTTCAGTGCAATAAAAACAATAAATAAGGCTTTTGATAACGGACGAGACAATAAGATATATGTACATATAATTAAATATGAAAAAAAAACAATGCAATGCGAGGGCGCTTCGCTCTTTTTATATCCGGAGTGTAAAGATTGTTGTTAATAGAAAAATTCGAAATTACAACAATTGCATGGTATAACTTTTAGTACGCTAAATTCACCAAGGAAAATGTTAATATTACTAACCAAAAGGCTTGAAAAACAATTGTTTTTTTTTTAACTTATGTATATATTTTAGCCCAGAATTGGGAAAAATAGCAAATGCTTATATATTTATAGCATATGCACACTAACGCTTTATTGTTAAATTTAAAAAAAAATAATTGCACCAGTTTCAATTTTGCGCTCTTGGCTTATTTTTTTTTTTGGGATATGTCCATATGATTTTAACATTCCTGGAAATTTTATTATTTATGAAAAGTGTATAAATATACTTCTTTTTGAATTCATATTACCACCCAAATGTGATGAATAAACAATATCTTCCACAAGAATTCTTTAATCTGCCAAGTCATGTGAAAATGATTTTAGCCAATAAGTTAAGAGTTTCGAGAGTGGTAGAAAGGTTTTTAATACAACTTCGTGAATTATACGGCTAGAGTTACGAGCCATTCTACATCACTCGAAAAGTACAATTTCGCTCGCATGCAGTGTTGTTATTACTAAAGCCCGGAGGTGTAAAACTAATCACAAAACTACGTGTTTACATTTATTTTTAATATTTTTATAATTTACAACAGTCACGCGAGTAGCCTTTAGTTTTTAATTTCCCCTTTACAAATTATGAACCAGAAGAGGTTTCGGTTAAATAGTATGTAAATCTTTTCCCCATCACGTTTGTCGAGATCTTCGCTTATTATTCGAAAAAATATCTACTAATATGCAAATAATTATAAAGGAATGCATTTTCTGTCATAAACAATTTGTTATTGAGTGGATGATGATTATATCGATGTATATAGTAATTAAAATGCATTCGCAAAGGTCACTAGAAATTGCTAACGTGACTGACTAGCTGAAGGCGGCTGTTGCTCACAAATTTCCTCAAAAGATAAGTATTATTTAGTAGAAAGTAATTATTTTTGAAAATGCAAAAATAATACTACGTTAGGGTTGACGTGACAATCAGACTTTTTGTAACAAAACTAACCGTTGTCGATTTGTTGACATGGTTGGCATGCGTTTCTATGCCTATTGTGTAGGCATGCAAAATAATTATAGTAAAAAATATAAATGTAAACGGCTTGGCAAAAAGTTCCTCCCTAAGAATTAGACATTTGAAATTAATATTTTTTTTGCCAGAATCTGCAGTAGCGCGTGGCAGTGGCCTATCAGCTAACACCTCAATCAATCGCTACGGCAATCCGCCCCCAAGTAATCAATTGCCGGTTGTGCTGACAATTGCAAAATGGCTATTAGCAGCTGGCGCAGCGTCAACCGTTAACTACTTATTTAATTTAGCTGATGGAATAGAATTTTAGTCGCACTAGAATCGCTGTCAATGCAGTAAGAACAGGCAAAGTAACTACTGGTTGTACAGCAACTAGAAAGATACACGACAGCGATTGAGCGCGGGCAAGCCGACTGTAGAAGGTATCTGTCAGCTTAACGTTAGAACAAAAATAAAGATGTTAGATAGAGGCGCATGCTGACAGCTAATGAATATGAAAAAAAGAATTAATGTCTAAATGTTGGAAATGCAGCAACCCAGCGCCCATAGAACGTTTCGTTTGCAGCGAATTGCCGAGAATGCCCAGAACACAGTTTGCCGCATGTAATCGCCGACAATAAGACAAGTTAAAACATAATTAGGGGCAATTGGCAATTGCCGCTGAGAACGCTGGTATAATTTGTAGTTATCATGGAGCCTTGATCGCATTCATAGTCAAAACTTGGTAGCCGAGGCAGAGGCAGAGACAAAGACTTTGACAAAGAACTCCGAAGCTGAAGCAACTGTTTTGAATTCAAATTGAAAAAAAAAACAAAAATGTGTCAAAATAGTTTAGGCGCATAGATTTGTTTGCTACAACAATACTTGCAATAGTTTGGTGGTCAGATATGTATTTACTTAGCGTAGGCTAGTTAAAATGCGATTAGCGCGCAAAATTAAAATAAAATAAAAAAGTGTATCACCAAAAACATTTATCATTACCTAAAGTATGTAATTCATTAAAAATAAGTTAAAATAAATGCGGAAGTCTCTTTTAATGTCCGAAATGCTACCATCTTTTAGAGTTGTTAAAAAATTTAGATTTAAGTAGGCATAGAGGTGTAAAAAGTCCACGGGACTGTTAATAAGATTTTCGTGTTTTTTTTTTTTAATTTCGGTTTAATCAAATGCTCGTTGTCTTAAATAAACTATGTAATTCTTCACAAATTTTTGTAGCGTGCTTAATTTATGATTTCGGCTTTCCGCCTTTGTTTTCATTGTTGAATAATCGTATTAATGTTGATCACTGTGTCTAATTGTGATGTTAGCAATGGATCTGGTTGCAGAATGATTAAGCAATTAACAAAATTGTGGGAAGAATGTGATTTAAAGCGAGACGGCTTGTGTAGATTGAGAGTTTCAAAGCCAACGAGCAATTTAAAATATTATTGACTTACTACAGCTAGCGGAGCTAGAAAAATTTTTTTCGATTAACTAATACAAGTTAGATAAGTGGATTATGAGTATTTAGGAGGGTACATCGTTTGCATCTTTTATTAGTATAATTTATAGAGTACTAAATAGTTGTTTATACACATACATTGTACTATAAACAAAGCTAACATATAAATACATAGACATCTTACTGTTAATAAAAAAAGTAAAAAAAAAAATATTTCGTGATTTCATGTAAATGATGTAGGAAATGTACCACTTAAGCTTTAACCGGAAATTAAAGCACACAATAATCTGTTGTTAGCCCATTAAACGTCACAAATAATCCATAAAGTTTTAAGTATTTTCTTCTACACTGAGAAAAGAGTTTGGTTACGTCAACTAAATGAGTTTCTTCCCTAACATGATTTGGTTATAATTACATGCAGAGCTGGTAAGTATTTAAAATAAAAATACAAACTGGAGTAGAGAGTATTTTGTAATTGCATTTTAAAATTTTTTTTAAAGCAGTATTGGTATTTTGTATTTTAAAAGGCCTTTTCTATTCTTAATTTTTGTAAAAGCATTTTGTATTTGTATTTCAAATACTTTTTATGCAAGATAATTATATTGTGGATTTAAATATTATTTTACAAGTATTTTTAACATCTCTGGTTATATGATTCGGTTATGGTTTGCAGATCTTGTGTTGAGAGAAATATATATAGCTGAACCTTTTTCCCCAGTATAACCTCAGTATATCTCAACTGGTTACATCTCAAAGTAATATCAGTTGTTACTAAGTGTTTGGACGAGATTATCCCTAACTCCTCTGATAATTTATTTTTGCTTCCCTTTTACGGAATCCCTTTAAAAACTTTGTCGGTTTAATGTACTTTGCATATCCTCGCTGTTGCCGTGCGATGTTGGAAGACAAATAAAAAGAAAATTCCCTATAAATTTGGTTTGTTAATGAACTACACAAAATTCGAATATACATTTATGAATTATTTTCTCAAAATGGGCTGTGTGTATAAAAACTAAGCAATTGCTTTTTCTTAAAATTTTATATCTTTGACTTAAATTCATTTGAATAAATCTAGTAAAAGTTCTGAAATTTCAAGAACAAGCATTTGCTTAAGATTTATGCATACGGCCCAATCTCTAATCAAAAAGGTACTTAATTGCCACAGATCACATGCGTTTTGGAGAGCATACCTACTTCATCTGGCAACTTTTTGAAATTTTTATGCTTGCATTACATTCATAATAAATGCAGGTTAATCTGGTTAAATGGTACCTGTTTGGGGTGGATTCAAAAACTTTGGTTAATTGCATTTTATTTACTTAAAAATGATTTTGCGATATAAAAAAGTTGAAGATTTTAACTTCAATCTTCAAAAAAAGTTTTTATTTTGCAATTTTTTTTTATATTTTTCTTCTGGTTAACAAGAAAAATTTTATAAGTCTCATTTTTTCTTTGCTGAGACTAGAGAGTCCTATCTTCAAAGAAAAACACTTAGTTATTATTTTGAACTAAATTTAAAAAAAAAAATGTGAGGAGAGAACGAGTTTTCTCTGCAGAGTTTTCCGCGGTGAAAATTATGAGGAATAATTTGATCACTTTCTGTGTCGATGTCCGATGTCCGATCTCTCAATAAAGGCGACTCAAATATCTGAAGTACGGCACTTCCCCAGTCTACCCGAGAAAGCGAAAGTGAAACTCTTGGAGCCCCTTAATTTGATTTGGTATAACAAGTGACCCAGCTATTTAGAGCC